TGTAGTCATTAAAAGTCCAGACCCTTGAGCCAGATGACCTGGGCTCCAGCCTGGATCAGCCCCTCCAGGCCATGTGGATTTAGGCCAGTTTAGCAGCTGAGTTGCCGTGCTTTCCTCATCAGTGAACTGGGGATAATGATAGTATCTATATCTTCATGGCTGGAAACAGTAAATGAATAGTGAAACACTTAAATAGGATAAAGAAAGAGCTCATCAGGCAGGATAGTATTAGTTTTAGGCAAGTAAGCGATCTGAGGGGTGGTGAGTTCATGACAAAGCTGTCCGTCCTCAGAGTCTGCTCCTCCTGGAGGGTGAGCAGAGGGAAGGAAAGGGCCCTGCAGGGCATTTCTGCTTGCAAATGGCAAGGTGGGAGGAAGGCCTATTAATCTGTGTTTACAGAAAGAACCATTATAAATAGCTTTTCGTTTTGTGGAGAGTGAGCTAACAGTTTATACCAGATGAGAAGTGGCTAAATGTCAATGGATTTACAAATTAAGTAGCTCCTGAGAGTCTAGTGTGTTACACACACACACACACACACACACACACACACACACACACGTTATCCTCTCCCTCCCTCTGGGGACTCTGGTGGTAGAAGTGGTTTTTTTTAAAGAGATCTACCTGATGAGGAAGTACAGCCAACTTTCTCTTGTTGTTTTGAAGGCAGGTGGCAGAACCACTGCACTAAATCCCTGGCCCTTCACTGTAATTTTTTAATCCAAACGTCCACATTTAAAAGCTTGGTAGAATTTTTAAAAATTCATATACCATCTAAATAAGCAGCAGGGGCCACGAGTTACTGAGGGGACCACCAGTGAGTGGCACCAGCAGGTGTGGCCGAGCGGTAAGATCACATTGCAGCCCAGCAGATAGCTCTGAGTGCCACAGTGCGTGTTGTTTTTCACACTGTCAGACATTTCCAGCTCCTGTGCTGTTTCCAGGCTCCTGTGACAGAGTTCTGCTGTGCCAAGTTCTGATGGCTTTGTAAACCAAAACCGGGTCTGGAAGGCAAAGACCTCATCCATTACTCTCAAGCTTCCTCCCTGACTGCCGTCCTCTGTGTCACACCCTCCTGACTGTCCCAGCCTGCTGCATTGTGTGCAGCTGCCTGCTCAGCACTCCTGGTCGGGGAGCCAAGGGCAGTAGGGTGCCCTTCTCCCCACTGCTGACTTCCACACTTATGGCACACACACTCCTCACCCACACTGGTTTCTGCTCAGGTGCACGTTGATAATCATCACATTTGTCCCTTACAATGTCAGCCTTGGAGAGCCGTCATAAGGATATTTCTAAAGACATCAGTTCAGTTATCCACTGCTTTGAGGTCCTTCCAGGAATAACATACCAGGTTAGTTCTAAAAGAAGTCATATTTGAAGGAATAATGAAAACTATGAGGCTGGTACCTTTTCTTTCCACAGTCCTGCTTTTCAGAAAAGCATTTACTAGAAAGTTTACTTCTCAAGATGTGAGATTGAAATGGAGGCCATACCTGAATGAGCAGGGGGCCTTTTTTGAGAGCAGAAAGACAAGTGTGTTTCACTTAGCCAACTGCCTCTTTGGATTGGGTGTGACCCGGTTTTCTACATGAAGGTATTGGCCAGTAATGTTAAGTGACGAGCTATCAAATTGACCCTACAAGGTTAAAAACTCCAGGGTTGACCTCTTGTTGTATCTTTCATTGTCTCTCTCTCTCTCTGAAAATGGGAGTAATGATGCTTGACTTGCCTCAACCCTGCCCAGTGGCGATGTTGGGAAACATAAGTGCACACAAGGTTTATTTTTCCCTCCGCTTTCCACTCCAGTGTCCTTGCTCTTCTCTTCATGTGAACTTAGCACAGTGAAAGCTGTTCACCCCCCACCAGGCATTTTGCTGCTAGAACCTGCCAGGCCGTCTTGCAGGCAAAAACCATACTGCTGCCAAAAGTCCTTATAGATCTAACCATAGACCCCAAATCAGGCTGTTTTCCATGAGGAGGTAAGGAAAACTGAACATTTATTAACATTAGGCAGTATTCTCTTCTGCCTGGATTTTTCTGCGTTCAGAGTCCTCAGTTGAAGAATAAAATGCTTATTACACATTGCCGATTTTCTTTCACTACTAAAACTGCCTTTTGTTGTGGTTTTGTCTTAACCAAACAGCTTTAAGAAAGCCTAAGATTATAACCCATGATGAGTGAGTAGAGTTCTTAGCCTTCAGGATTAGGCAGGTTGAGAGGACAGCAGAATGTCAGTGTTTAAGCCAGGATTAGGCCATTTTCAGCACTGAAGAACTCTGAAGGTCCAGGTTCCAGACAGGCAGATTTTGGTGAAATAAAGACTTCCACGTGTCACTGTGATTCCTAAAGAGTCCTCTCTGGCACTTACAACACTAAAGAGAGAATTAAAAAGCTGTCCAAAACTTTCAGTTTTACTAGACAAAAGTATTGGTATTTTTCCCTCAGTCCTTTAAAATGAAATCAGTGTGGTTAAAAAGTAACTGAATGTCTAGATTTTTAAAAAATATCTATTACAGCCAAAGTCACACTGCCATTAATCCCCTCAAAATACTTCCTCTGGCTTCAAACACACACATCCTATTCTTCTTGCCATGTTTTTTTTTTTTTTTTTTTTTTT